ATTATTATTATTATAATTTTTATTATTACTTCCCAGGCGAGGGCCTGAGTGGCATGCTGCCTGCCATGATTGCGCTGGGCCAAGGGGCGGGCCAGATCTACTGCGTGAACGTCACGTCAGACGTCAATGTGACGGCGGCCAACGCCACGTTCTCGACCACGCCCGCCGCTCCCTCGTACCACATGGAGCCACGATTCACCTCGGCACGGTTCCCCGTCCGCACTTATTTCATCATCCTCACTGCCATCATCGCGTGCTCGGGGATCGCTTTCCTCCTTCTCAACTTCTGGAAGTACTGCCAGTCCGAGTTTGTGAGTACGAGCTCGAAGGACTACGAGTACATCGTTCCGGGGAGTGACGGGCAAAAAGTGTTGAGCTACGGTTCTATCGAGAGTGGGGGAGGAGCGGATAATCCCGCGTACGTCACGACGGAGGAGGAAAATGTGAACACAGTCCGAAAAAGCTCGAAACAAGCAGCGGAGGATGCGAACAGAAACGGAAACGGCATCATTTTCAGGCTTCGGCGTTCCCTCGTAGTAGACAACATGAGCCCGTTCCAGTTTTTCATTCACCAGATAACGCTGGTGCTGATCAATATGACCTTCACGACCTTCCTCAGCACCATTCAGGTCTACTCGACCTTGCCGTACGGGCTTCGCGTCTACCATCTGGCCACGACGCTGGTGCAGATCGCGAATCCCGTGGCCTGTTTCTTTGCGGTGTTTCTGTTGGTGCGCAGTCAGGTGTTCATTGTCTTCTGCACGCTGCTCGGGCAAGTGTGTGTGGCCTACATCATATACCTGGCATCCATGAGTCCCGAGCCTCCAATGATCGCCGAGACAGCCGGGGGGAACATTACGGTAAGTCCTGTTGCTATAAATATTTGTTACAGTTAGCCTGAATGAGGAGAGTCTGTAAACACTTACACTCACACACTGACACAGACACATACACACACAGACACACGCACAAATACAGATACAGGAACATACACACAGGCTCTTACACATACACACAGACACATACACGCGCACACACACACACTCTCACATACATACACATGCACAGACACA